AGTAATCTGGATTTTTATTTCAGACAGTGCATGCTCTTTGCTGCACAATTTCAACTGGAAGGTGATTTCTGTTGCGTTGAGGCGATGCCTTTTTAATCCTTGTAAGAAATCTCATCAAAATCAACATTTTCAGTTAAAATCGATTTTTGACTTGTGCAAGTGTGTAAAATCAAAACTTTTGTTACATATTTTGACGATTGTTTGAAAACAATAGGTAATTAATAGATTTATAAAAATACAAATCGCCTATGCGTTTCTTTTTTTGGATAGTATATTTTGTTTCCAAAGACAATTTCTTTACGCAAACTACTGACTGGGATTTATCAGTAGTTGCTGGTGATGCGATTTCCTCCGCCAAGTACATTACTTGGATAATGTATAGAGGAAGTTGATAATATAGAGTCGGTATAGAGGAAGTTGATAATATAGAGTCGGTATAGAGGAAGCTGATAATATAAAGTCGGTATAGAGGAAGTTGATAATATAGAGTCGGTATAGAGGAAGTTGATAATATAGAGTCGGTATAGAGGAAGTTGATAATATAGAGTCGGTATAGAGGAAGTTGATAATATAGAGTCGGTATAGAGGAAGTTGATAATATAGAGTCGGTATAGGAAGTTGATAATATAGATAATATAGAGTCGGTATAGAGGAAGGATGTTGATAATATAGAGTCGGTATAGAGGAAGTTGATAATATAGAGTCGGTATAGAGGAAGTTGATAATATAGAGTCGGTATAGAGGAAGCTGATAATATAGAGTCGGTATAGAGGAAGTTGATAATATAGAGTCGGTATAGAGGAAGCTGATAATATAGAGTCGGTATAGAGGATAGAGTAATATAGAGGGTATAGAGGAAGTTGATAATATAGAGTCGGTATAGAGGAAGCTGATAATATAGAGTCGGTATAGAGGAAGTTGATAATATAGAGTCGGTATAGAGAAAGTTGATAATATAGAGTCGGTATAGAGGAAGTTGATAATATAGAGTCGGTATAGAGGAAGTTGATAATATAGAGTCGGTATAGAGGAAGCTGATAATATAGGGTCGGTATAGAGGAAATTGATAATATAGATTCGGTATAGAGGAAGTTGATAATATAGAGTCGGTATAGAGGAAGTTGATAATATATAGTCGGTATAGAGGATGTTGATAATATATAGTCGGTATAGAGGATGTTGATAATATAGAGTCGGTATAGAGGAAGCTGATAATATAGAGTCGGTATAGAGTCGGTATAGAGGAAGTTGATAATATAGAGTCGGTATAGAGGAAGCTGATAATATAGAGTCGGTATAGAGGAAGTTGATAATATAGAGTCGGTATAGAGGAAGTTGATAATATAGAGTCGGTATAGAGGAAGTTGATAATATAGAGTCGGTATAGAGGAAGTTGATAATATAGAGTCGGTATAGAGGAAGTTGATAATATAGAGTCGGTATAGAGGAAGTTGATAATATAGAGTCGGTATAGAGGAAGTTGATAATATAGAGTCGGTATAGAGGAAGTTGATAATATAGAGTCGGTATAGAGGAAGCTGATAATATAGAGTCGGTATAGAGGAAGTTGATAATATAGAGTCGGTATAGAGGAAGTTGATAATACAGAGTCGGTATAGAGGAAGCTGATAATATAGAGTCGGTATAGAGGAAGTTGATAATATAGAGTCGGTATAGAGGAAGTTGATAATATAGAGTCGGTATAGAGGAAGCTGATAATATAGAGTCGGTATAGAGGAAGTTGATAATATAGAATCGGAATGTATGACCAACTCCTGTAACCTTACTAGTCAATTTTTAAATATTACCAGACGTCAAACCCTTTCATCAACGTCCAACTGGATTGTTGGGACAAAATGATGATTATTCTTTATTCGCATCCAAACATATGGACCTTATGAAAGATGAAACAACATACCTTGAGTATTACGTTCATGTTTGCCTTCTTATCTTTGATGGAATAAAGGAAAGGACGTAAGGACGTTCCGTAACCAATTTTAGTCATTTTCCACTCACTGCCAAAAACCTGTTTGCTATCTCAGTATTGAGAAACAAGGTAGGCACTATATCATAATTATTGTATGTTAGGATCGCTGTGTGGAGCTGCTTCATGCCCTACCAGGATCCAGTATCCAGGTGTGGGCACAAAACCCAGGTTACTTTGAAACCAGGTTTTGGTGTAAACATATAAGATCTGCAGATGTTCTCCCAACATTAAAAAAGTCACGTGCAACCAAAAAGACAAACATAATCAAAACACAATTATCACTTATTTATGACATAATATACATTGCTGATTATGAAAAATCAAACAAAGAAAATTATAAGCGTACAATCGCAAATCAAAAGTGCAATATTTTGTACTTGAGTTTACTTCCCTCGAAACGAAGCACCCGGGATACCGAACCCAGTCAAAGCGGGTGGGCGTGCACTTAAGTTATATTTCATACTATTATTTCACTACCTGTGTCTTTCCTCTCATTTTATGCGCTTTGAGCAAGCACCTTGTGGATGGATATAAATACTCATTATTAATATAACATATTAAAAGCTCGCGCCAGTGAAATATCGAACAAAACATTAGAAAAATAGCTCACATTAAAGCCTACTCCGAGTATTCACCGCCAGCGAAGGTTTTCCGTCTTGAAATGTCGCTTCCAACCTGCGCGCCATGAGCGCAGTGCAGCGCAGCGCAGCACAGCTGTTGAAACCACTTTTCACCCCAGCTGGGGTGAATTTAGTGAATCGTTTGAACTCAGATTTCGCGGGGTTTTTTCATCGCTTTATTTTTCAACTTTATAAGTTGAATTTGCATTTTTGATCATTTGTTACTGTAAGTCCATACATCTTATGAAGGGGTAAAACGTTACCCTGAATCGTTGTGCGTGTTTCTAGCCAAAATACTCCTTATCCGACTCATATTACATATGTAAATACATGTATTCATTGAGACTCTCATCAATATAAATGTTTACCTGTAATGATAGATAAGGGCATATAGTATATCAAGGATTCCTATTTTCGGATGAAATGTGTTAATCCAGAATTTACTTCAGGGGCGTAGCTACCATTGTCGAAAAAGCCCGGGCTTACACACGATTGTTGCTATAAAGATTAGGAGAACCCTCAGTACCATCTAAATATATAGCTCTGCAACCTTCCAGGCTTACACGATCAAATTGGCTTGCTACGCGCCTTTACTTTAAATTGATACAATGACTTTCCACGATTTTCGGTTCCCGGAGAAATGCATGTACTGACCCGTGCCAGTTATTTGGCACTTGGCGTAACTTCCATAGATTTAAATCTTAATTTAGTGTAGCATATATAATTTTCATGAATTTAATTTTCGTAAGATCCAAGTCAATTTTTGCACGTTTGTGAGGAATCATCTTACCTACAATCACATTATTTCTGTTTAATTTTCCGTTGCTTATTTATCGAATGGCAACAATGTAATCAACATATGTACAGTGCCGTGAACTCCTTTAACATGGCGGCCTATGGGATTGTGCATTGTGGATCTATACGTAAGTTGATAAATGTGATGTCATTAGTTAAATAGTGGTCGGAAAATCGAACTGAAATTATGTGCGCAGAGCAGAGATGATTTCAAATTTGCCTGTCACATTTTACAAAGATCTATCCTAAACTCACTTCATGAAAATTAGTTATGTTCCACTGAAATAACATGTAAGTCTATGGAAATGACGTCAAGTGTGCGAATATACAATATATATATGACACGAGTCGGTACTTCAACTACCCACTGCACCCTTGAATTGCCTTGGTTGTGTTAAAACCATGCGTCTCAATCCAAGTGAATTATTATCAATAATGTAAGTCGATCAATAGCAACAAGAGTCATCAGAAGATGACAAATCCCCCCGGCCCCCACATCTTTGAAAGAGCAAGTCATCTGACAGTTACTTAAAGTCTAGCTTGATTTTAGACTAAGTGCAAATCGTTTCAATGGAAACCATGAAAAACATAAATGCCATAATCTGCAAATAGCAAAAGGCACCACTTCAAGATCTGCGTCACATATCTGCCAAGTTTTACTGAAAGATATTAAGAAGCTTTTGCGTTGTGCTCCGGAAACGAAACATACCCCTCCCTTTTGAGACTAAGTCCGAATCGTTTCCATGGAAACCGAGAAAAATAAAAATGACAAAAATCTGTAAAGAGCAAAAGGCACCACTTTGGGATCTGCCTAACATAGCTGCCAAGTTTTGCTGAAAGATATTAAGAAGTTTTCGAGTTGTGCTCCGGTAACAAAACCTACCCCTCCCTTTTGAGACTAAGTCTGAATTGTTTGCACGGAAACCAAGAAAAATACAAAGGCCAAAAATCTGTAAATAGCAAAAGGCACCATTTCAAGATCTGTCTCATATATCTGCCAAGTTCTGTTGAAAGATATTGAACGGTTTCCAAGTTGTGCTCCGGAAGCGAAACCCATCCCTCCTTTTAGAGACTAAGTCCGAATCGTTTCCATGGAAACCAAGAAAATAATAAATCACAAAAATCTGTAAATGGCAAAAGGCACCACTTTAGGTTCTGTTTGATATATCTACCAAGTTTTGCAGAAAAATACTGAACGGTTTCTGAGTTATGCTCCGGAAACGAAGCCCACCCCACCCTTTAAGACTAAGTCCAAAACGTTTCCATGGAAACCGAGAGAAATAAAATGACAAAAATCTGTAAATAGCACAAGGCACCACCTTAGGTTCTGTTTGATACATCTACCAATTTTTGTTGAAAAATATCGAACGGTCTTGGAGTCATGCTCCGGAAACAAAATGATTACGGACGGACGAGGCGACGACTATATCCCCCTGAATTACACGCCGGGGGTATAAAAAGCTAAGATGATGTCAGCTGTGTGACAGACCACCCTACCCTCTCTCAAGTTTTGTTCATACGGTCACTCACAGATCCACTACAAATAACTTGAATTACCTCCCCTTACTTGTTGCAAGTACCGCCACTGGTGGCGCACATGCACATGCGGTGACGTCATAGAACGACAGCCCAACCAAGGCCTTGTTGTATCAGAAGCATATTTCAGTTAGTTTTCAGCTGACTTGAGATGGCAACATTCGCATCGCAAGCACAACAAGCTGCAGGATGGTAATTTTAACTATTCTGGTTATCACACAATATTTAAAGTCCGGATTACTTTGATATTATTAGTATACTTGTCGATATTTTCCATTCGATTTGATGATGCCACGAAAATCAAAATGGCGTCTCGCATTTACAGTGAAGTTAATACGATGTTGGAGACCCATTTCTTACTATTTCTGACCATCTTGTGTTCCCTGATATGTGACCAATGAAGTATTAACTGGATGTAGACCCTTATCGCTGATAACACACCTTTTCCCGTCTGATATGATCGAGATATACCGCTGTTTAGTCGCCCGAAGACCACGAGGCAAATCAATATATAGGATAGATTTAGGGATGACCTAGGTCTAATGTAACTAACCTTGTATACCTGAGGCCAAATATACTTTGCCATGTGATTATTTTTGCACTTGACTGTGTTGATTTTCTGTTTAATGACATTGAAGTTTCCTGGATAAAGTTTTCAAATCTATTTGTTATCACTAATATCAGTTATCATGGTTATGTTTAGGAAGTTGTGTGTATAACATTTTGCAATCAACACCCATCATAACATGTCATGTGTACAAGTATCACACCTGCCTGTCTGTGTAATTACATAATGTGACAGAGACCGAACTCGGGCCATAAATCAATGCGTTTTCAGGGCTCGATTTAGCACTTTGTTACTTGCACTAGTACAATCAAATATTACAAAGTGCAACCTAGTTATTAGTCTAACTTGCACCAGGTGCAAGTCAACTTTTGAGTGGGTAAACTTCTAAATAAAACATCTAAATAATTCAATAGCATGTTTCTTTTATAACATATTGCAATAAAAGCAGTGCCATTGGAATTTGGCTGGTGCAACTAGGTATTTATGTTAGGTTGCACCTGATGCAAGTTGGTTAACATCTCTTAAATCGATCCCTGGTTTTGTTTATGGTGTATAGCCTGATAGGTGTTAAGTTCAAATTGCATGTGGTCAGTGATCAAAGTTGTGTATTGAATATTGTCATTAGCAGACAGGCAGGCAGACACATAGGTGTCAATAAAACAGACATTGAGTTTTGTCTGTAACGACATATCTGTATCAGTTAGAAATTGTGTCAACGCTAAATAATGACATTGCTTTTAAGTATCGAACTGAGAAAGTGACTCGGGTAAGAGGAACGTATGGTGAAATAGACAAATGAAATTATATAAACAGTTAAATCGATAATCTATTGTCATATCATATAAAAAGCTTGCGCCTTTAAATATCAACAAAACATCAGAAAAATAGCTCACACCAAAGCCATCACCAAGTATTCACCAGACAACCCGCTTCCAAGCTGTGCGAACCTATTTCACTGCGCATGTGCTATGAGCACAGCCCAGCTGTTGAAACCACTTTTCCCCCAAGCGCTGGGGGAAATTGCATTTTTTGATGATTTGTTTCGGTAAGATACTAAGACAATAACGAAAGGTATCAGAATCTGCAAAGTTGTGTTTTACGTTGCATGTGACCTTTAACAGTCTGACATAAAGACCCCTGCCAAGAGCCCAAACCCATTCAACATCAGCTACTAAGTATTAAGATAAAATAGAAATTTTAAACATTTAAGGCACATTAAAACCTGCTAATCAACTATTTAAACTGAACATTTCTCATTTCCATTTGCATATCCGATCTATTTGCATCTATTTACGTTTTACATCCATTTTTAAATGTTAACCTCAAAGTAGAAAAATGGTCATGGACAAGTGCAATAAATATAGTGGATCAGTTATTACAAGGCATTTTCAGTTCTGCTGCAAATGTCAGACATTTTCTGATGTTAATGTTGATATCACCAGGATTTACCAAACTGTTTGCAATTCACCATTTCAGACTTTATACTTTAACATTTTCTCCAGTAAAACTAAGTTTGTTGAGTACTTAACATACTGAAAGTAAAAACATGATTTGTTTTGAATTTGATTTACTATGACTATTTTTTACATAATCCGCTTGTAGCTCGTTGAGCAGGTATATATGTCTGGATTGTGTGCATTATAAATGCATTATTATCATGTACAACATGGTAGCATGTGAAGTAATGCGAGTTATTTAAGTACAGAAATACACATTGCAACAATCTTATTTCGACAACATGAGGTAATGCTTGTTATTTGATATAATCTTCACTCTTTAAAGTCTTTCTTATTTAAGCATGTTTGGCTTGTTGCAGGTCCCAACAGTATGGTGGAGGTAATGGAGAAATGAAACCAGAATGGGAAAAAGCAAGAAAGGCTCTAGAAAATATGGGAGCTACCAGTGTTTCCCCACAGAAGCCAAAGAAGAATTCTCCATCTGTTGCACCACCCCCTCCTCCCCCTCCACCACCTGCTGAAGTTGATGGACCTCCAGGACCTCCTGGGACATGGTCAATGTATGGTCATAACTACAATATGTATCAACCCTATACTTACCAAAAGTGAGTTATTTTTCAAGTGCAAACTTCTTAAATGTAGCACGGGTTAAAAAAATTGATCTTTTCAAATCTTGGGATATTTTGTATGCCATTATTTTGAAGTGTTGTTACTTCAAAATATAGAACAAAAATAGAACTGTTGAAGGGTTTGTATAAATGTGTGACAGTGAAGGTTTGTTTTATTTTTCAGTTACTATGGAAATGGGATGCCTCAAGGGCCCATGTATGGTCAGAGTGCTGGACCAAGTCCGTATGACCAAAGGGTATGTAATTCCTTTGAGTTGATATGTACACACTTGTCTATTTTAGTCAAATTAACCAATGATGTGTCTTTTATTCGTCCTATCAGATGTACCAGCAGCTTGTGACATTAAAAATGTTTTTACAAAATAGGTGTTTGCTTGTAACCTGTTGTTTAACACTGTGGGTCATAATGGAACCCAAACGTTCAACCACAACGATTATGAGTCCCCATAGACACCGGAGGCGTTATGAGTCCCCAGACACCGGATCGGCCAGGTAGTAGTCACGTCAAAATGAGACATAATTTTAGGAACCTACCTGACTTTTGATTCATATATCAAATCTATCACATTTCACAATGTCTGAAAACACTTATTAAATTTCAATTTATCATATATTATCAGCAGAATTAAAATTATAAACTATTTTTCGCAATATTATTGAAAACAACGATTCTCGGACACATGCTTCGGCAGCGGGTCCACAATAACATTGTCAAAAAGCAAAGTAACGATGTTTCGAGGAAATTATTAAATAAATTGAATAAACTAATGAATAAAATCAACAACAGCATTCATAAAAGTTGTCAAACGTACATATAAAATTACTATTTCCATCTTTTTGTGCGATCATGTAATGCAAGTCAAGTCACTGACAAGTGACATCTCGGCTCTCGCCGCCTCAATCTTCACGCTCGGACACGATGTTTAATGCGAAAATACATACATGAAGCATTTTTGTCACAGGTCATAACCTAGCACGATACGTCCAATAAGTTCCATAATTTACGTATTGGTAGCGATTTCTTGCTTAATATGTTCAGAATAGCATTATTTTACCCAAAACTTTTGTCCAAATCTAAAAGATTTCGTTTACGAGGACGGTATCCATTGCCGTAATATGATTGGCTGCCTTAGGTCACGTGTCTGATTTTGACCAATCACAACCCTTATATAGCAGACTGTGGCGAAAAAGCGTCATTAGAAACCAATCTTTATCCAATAAAATCGCTTCTTACAACTGTGAAAATACTCTTGGCAAGGGTACAGTGATATTGTTGATGTTCAGAGCTTTCGAACGATGCCCGACATCAAACGATTTGCCGCGCATGTTATTCATACGAAGCTTCGAAAACGGAGGTATTTTCAGTTGTTATGTCATTTTACCGAGCGGAAAGCCGCAGATATCGGGAAATAGGCGACCATACATATTGTTTAAGAAATCTTTTTATAATAATTTTCTGATTACGTAAAAATGAAAATATAAAAGAAAAAAAGGCACGGGCAATTTATGACATGTCACAAATGGAAAAAATCGCCATAGTTTTTGCTCCTTTCGTGGTTTATCTGGACGTTACAAATGTAAGCTTGCATTTTCATTCAAATATAAATTTATTTAAGTTGTAGTTGTATTATTTGAATAATATTATAAAAATAAACTTCATATTTATCAACAGTAGGATTAGATCTTTTAAATGGTGTATGGGATGTAGTAGCAATAACGTTTTACAAGCTTATAATTTCCTTCACAAACATAGGCTTCATCTATGACCTCAGAGTCTCTGGGAACTCTGGTGTCATGGTTGAAAGAGTTAAAGATGAATGATCTACTCGACAGTTGACTGGTGTTGAAAGAGTTAATGGTTTGTTATTGTCTTTATGGCTCAATCAGTTCATTGCATGATCATTTTGCTGCTAAAGGATGAGTTATTATAACTATTAACTATTTTTCCCCATGTTGTTTAGCCTCCTTTCAATGGTTATGGACCAAGGATGTCAGAAGCAAGAGCAGAGGATCAGCATCATCAGTCAATGGACGAAGACTTCAGAATAGGAGAAGAACGACAAGATGAAAGGAGAGACATGGGACCAAGGCATCAATCAGATGTCCCTTCAAATCAACAAAGGCCCACATATCCATACCCTCAGCAGAACGGACCACGGTTCCAACCTAGAAAGCGTAAGTTATAACCATTTGAGGACCTGGTCTATAATGGATCACAACCCAGTTATGATTAGGGCTGTAACGATGCATCGAACTATCTATTGCAATTAATCGATGGTAGAAAGGAAAAACTATTGATGCATCTATAGTGTGACTATCGATAGTTTAGTCATTGACTTTCGCTGATGAATGCACAGCTAAAAAATACAGGAAGTACCAGATTTGTTCACTTTGATTTAGAGATATCCGCCATTGTTACTTGTGACTTCAAGTCTAGGTTTCAAGTTTCTTGTAAGTTATTAAAATAAACTGAAACTGCTTCAACTTGTTTTTATTTCATATAAACTATACATTCATTTGGGGAATGACTTCAAATGAGATAATTCAAGGAGAGAAAAACTATTGTAATAACTGGTTGCAATAGACTATCGCTATTGCAAATAGTTGTTTCCCACTCAATAGTCACCCCCAGTTATGATACTGTTAGCACATTTCCAACTTGATCCATGTGCATGGGTGTTCCTCCAACATGAACAGAAGAAAGATGATGTGATAAAAATGAAATACAGGACATGTGGCAATAAACTAAGCTCGCTAAGCACAGACTTGCTGTACCCAACCAGCAGAACACTCTTGGATTGACATGTTATGTCATAGCTCTGGGTTTTTGAGTAGTCATGCATTATGCTTGCAGAAACTGACATCACACTGTAGCTCTACCTTCCAGTGCATTATATCATAGACATAATACAAGTCCTTGAATGTGTGTTTCAGAGGCACCAGGAGCTGGAGGCATCAGGTTTCAGATTCCGAAGAGAAACATGCAGGGAGGAGGAGGAGGAGGTGGGCCAGTGAAACGTTTCATGGTTCCCCGGTCACTTAGGTCAATGGCACCCAACAGTGAAAAACCAGAACCACCTCGTCAGCCTCAACATAATGAACATCTCCCTCCAGCACCACAGACAAATGGAATGAGCTCAAAGACTGAGTAAGTCATGTCATGGAACTTCGGTCTGAAGCTTATTTTGGTGCTGCGATTTTGTTTGGATGCTTTAGAATCTGGTTATACCATCATACTTGTTTCATAAAATGTTTTCATCGGTTTAATGCATGTTGATGATTTGAAATAAGCTTATATTTCATAGGTGAACATTGTCTTTCAGGAAAGCAGAGATGGTAGCTGAATGGCCTCCAACACTGAAGTAAGTACTCAGTAATGTTCTATCAATATTTGGCTTTTTCACTAACAGCAGGCTGAATATAATGACTCCTGGTACTTACTCTTTAAATTTCTTTGAACTTACTACCTGATAGTTGTTTTCTTATCCACATGTTAAAATCTTTTTTTTCTTAGGGCATATGTACAGAGGGCATTTGCAAGTGTGAAGAATGACATGATGAAAGACCAAGTTGAGTCATGGTTGAAAACCCACCTCACTCAGTTATTTGAGTCAGGAGAAGCAATGGCAATAGATTGGGACAATGAACCTTTGCCAACGTATGTTATTTTGCCCCCTTGGCCTGATATGATTTTATTTTATAATTTTGATAAGCTGGAATTGTATAAAACTGTGTCTGTGCTCTTATTATATTAAGTCTGCCAAGAATGAAATAATTTGGATCTTAATTCGCTACTCTGAATGCTTATTTATACTTTCATGTTGTGTTATGGGATGAAATATGGTTTGATTAGGTGTTGAATTGAAACATTTTTTAATCTAATCAACTTAGATTTGAAACAAGTTTTGACACTACAATGAAGGTCTAACACCCAATTATATCAATTGTACCCCATTCAGTGTCTTCAGTGCTGCCCCTAGCCATGGTCCGAAGGCTAAGAGAAGTAGATGGGAGTTAGAGCAGGCGAGACAAAGAAGGGGGCGTGGTGTCCGGGGTCCATACACAAACAACAGGGTTCCCACCTACAGAAGGTCTAGGTCAAGATCACGCTCAAGGTCCAAGAGCTTCAGTAGGTCCAGGTCACGATCAAGGTCACCACCAAATCGTAGGAAAGGACCACGCCGTTACCAGAAAAGGTAATTCCAACTTGAAGAATAGCGAAAACAGTTTTTCAACAAGATTAATGTTCTCCAACTTGCCTCATGTTGGACAGTGTTGTATTGAAATTTTCCATGGATATATCAGTTGAAACTTGACTCATAGTACAATTGCGATGTTCAGAATGTATGTCATCTTGATGAATGTAGGCTTTTTACTCTTTCATTTGTTTTAGTGAAAGCTCAAGTTCCTTAAGTTCAGATGAAGATCGCTATTCAAATCCTAAAGACAAGAGGAAATTTGGCAAGTTACCCAATAGAGGCCGAGGACGGGGAAACAGAGGCCGAGGTGGCAGTAAAGATGACAAAAAGGAAAATACCCAGGGTTTTGGCAAAAAGAATAAAAAGGGTAGGCTTAGGTGAGTAGTTAACATGTTTTTGGATGTCTTCAGTCTGATGTAAAAAGGAAATTTTGCCTTTTCCTGATTTATGCATTATTGCTTATCTCCCTTCTTCGAATGGTAAGTGGAAACTTGAATCCCTTTCAGTTCCCTGAAGCGAACGAACAATCACTCACCCTGGAGTTGCCCCCTTGCCTTCCCATCAAAATGCACCCACATGACCACAAGGCATGCTGTCCCCACTTTTCTTCATCGCCCAAGCGGACGGTTGGACGGTCTCTTCAGGGTCCCTTTGTGGCACTCTTCCTTTGGATCTTTGGTTCACATTTTGCTGTGAATGGTTTCTTTAAGATGTTATTCATCATATTTTTAACTTACCTTACCATAGGTCTTATGCATATTACCTTAAGCTCCGCGTAGAAGAGATCAGACAGTCGTTGATTTGACATTCTCTAGAATGGCTGCCTCAGGTATCTACGATAGGGAGAGGCGTTCTAGGTCACCGACTCGTGGGATGCGTTATCATCGGTCCAGTTCTAGGTCTCCTCCTGTGCTCCGCGACGACCACGTTCTCCGACAGTTACTTTTAGCACTAATTCTCAGGTGTCATCAGAGCGCCTGACGCCTGCTGTCTTTGGCCAATGATATAATGCTCCGGCCGTGTCTTGGGACGGCAATGATGAGCGTTATTTCTCTCCCCACTGCTGCAGTTCATTTAAGCCTCAGATGAGACTTTATAGCCAAGAATCAGTTACCTGGCCAACTGGATCGACAGTTTTACGTTCCAGCACCATCAACCATATTAGGACCAGATGATACACAAGATTTGTTCTTATGCTCAGTCAGAGCCTTGAAAGTCTACTTGGACAGGACTGCATGAGGAAGTTGAAGCGTCTGTTTTTTCCGCTATCACCTGCCATGACTGTAGAAGTCTACCGAACTACGATCTCATTTTGGACCAGAGACGTTATTCTACTAGCTTATAAAGCAGCAGGGTTAAGGCCACTTAAAGCATCGAACCTGCATGAAGTTAGAGCACTGGCCTCGCCACTCTGCCCTACACAGGAACTGCTCTCTTTCATCCATTATGGAAGGCTGCTTTTGGAAGTCGGACACTGTGTTCGCCAACCACTATCTACAGGATATCGCTACTGAAGACGTATTCATCAGTTCGGGCCACTGGTAGTAGCGCAGCAACTCACGATTCCAGCCAGACGATGAGAATATTCACCCTTGTCACGCATACTCGTTGACTCCAGGCATGTTCATGTTCCCCTGTCTTACAAGATAAGTCTGCGCATAGTGATATAGGCTCAGTTTCGGCAATAGTCCTTACCTTAACAGTGTTCATTCTAGGCCGCGCCATTCGTGCACTGAAAGTTCATATGGCGCAGTTTAAAAATACTGGCGGGCCGTGTTGGCGCACTCAAGATATCAAACATAAATCTGAAATACATTACGAGTTTGTTTTCAAGCGTCAACTCAAGCAAAATTCAAAACGCAGGCTTAGTTTAACTGTAACAAAATGCGCTACCTTCTCTCACTGAAGCGAGCTGTTATTGTTTTGAATGCCAAGAACTCTGCACATCCATTTGAAGCTGTTTCAAACGGACAGTACGAAGCCTACAAATCGGTGTTAAGAGAAAATCTGATGCGCTTTGTAAAGCAGATTCTGATTGGTCGGTTTCTTTGAGTGATCCAATCACGTTGCATGTAGCAGTTTTATACTTTTGTTGCCATGGGGGACACACCAGCTGTCAAATGCTGATGTCAATCAAAATACAGAGAGCACAACTAATCGCGATGATGATAACCGAAAAGAGGATGGGTCTGAGGAGAAATGCCAGGACGATGTATCACGTCCACATGTTTTTTCAAAATACGTGGTTGCAGCTTTACCCATGGGTATCGTACGACAAAGAGGCAAATCGCATGCTATGTACCGTGTGTATTGCCCATCACAAAATGTGTTTACAGGGAATGGCACAGACAATTATTGGACCAGTAAGTGAACTCAAATTAGTAACTAATTAGTACTGTATGTCTAACAAGTCACAGCAATTTGACATGACCCACACTATTTTCTAAATGGCCCACATAACTGAGGGCTGGTGGGCCATGGGCCCGACTTTTTATCAAGGCTAGAATGAACACTACCTTAACATATGGGTCGTTCAAGATATCTAGACATCGAGGCGTTCTAGTTTATCTTAAATCCTCGAATTCTATATGATTTACTTCTTTTACGGATGTAAGAGAAGGTTTACTCCTCTTCCCTGCTCCACCCCCCCTTGATTGTCATCAGGAAAAAAATTGACGTGTTCAAGCTGCAAGAAGAGTTCCCAGGGGGTACATGAGCGAATGCTGACGTGATCAATTCAGTCACCAAGAATCCAGTGGGTGGCTGACCCACCACCTATTTCCGTCGGATTCAATAAGCAATATAGCATGAGTCAGGAGAAGGAAAAATATGTAATTTTTGTGATAAAATTGATATTTTATACTTAACCTGAATCATGATTTGAAGCCCTCCCAACCATCCCATTTCACCACTACAGGCTTTCCTGTAATCCTTAGTGTGGGCAGATTTTCGGAGAGACAGCATGCCTTGTGGTCACGTGTGTGCACTTTGGCTGGAAGGCAAGGGGGCAACATTCGAGGGTGAGTGATTATCTGTTTGCTTCAGGCGACTGAAAGGGATTCAAGTTTCCACATAACCATTCGAAGAAGGAGGGAGATAAGCAATATCAGGATAAGTATAAAATATCAATTTTATCATAAAAATTCCATTTTGATTTAGATGCACTCAAGAATTATAGCAGATTCCAAACATTTGACTTGTCTGAACATCTAAAGTTATGTAGTATGGAAGATAAGATATATTATTCAAAGTTTGAAATTTCAAATTTGTTGTTTCTTTTTCAGTTTAAGTGACATCAAGTTAGATTTCCATGATCCAGAAAAGGCAGCAAGAATGCAGAAGAGAGCTGCCCGTTTTGGTGCTCAGTTGGATGAAGATACAAGCAGGACGCCTCGTCAGAAACTGACATTAACAATTAACAACCTATATGTAAGTACAGGCTATCCTATCTTGTGTACACCATTTAATGAATTTGTGAGAACCTAGTTGTAAGGATAACCTGTCTGATGTGCTGAGCATTCATGTGTACTGTGGGCTCCAAATTTATGAGTCTTCCAGAAGGGAACGAATGCAAAATCAAATGGTGGTGATAATTTTTGTTGTCTATGTTTATCATAGTTGACAGACTTTCATCATCGTACATAGTTTCTTCTGTGTTCAAGAAGTTAGGACCAAGTTCTATATGTGCTGCATCTCTGTTGATTGAGTTTGACACCATTTTGTATTTGATTTGTGGTATGTTTATGTCTACACTGGGCACAAATCATAAGTCTTTTAAAAGGGATCGAATGCATTACAAATGGTTATCATTACTCAATTTAGTATATGGTGAGCATTGTACATAAGCATTTTCCGATAGCCCCTGTAACAGTGGTCAAAAACCATCACCAAAAGTATCTGCCTTTAGCTGTTATAGTTTGTTTCTCTGCTTCTTATATGCATAGCACATCATCATGCTAGTTGTATCACATTGTTATGTTGTGATTTCTTTGTCTTTCTTTTATTACACGTTATTGTCACCGCATAATTATTTGGCTACGGAGAGTACCTATTTTATGCATCCGAGATTGATGTAGGGTAATATGGATGGAATTACTTCAACTGATAAATGTTTCCATATTTTCAATTTCCTTTGCATTCATGTGTACTGTGGGCTCAACCTAATGAGTCTTCCAGAAGGGAACGAATGCGATATTAATAGATGTCATCATACTGGTCATGGATATTACCATTCCACCATGATGATTATCTTACATTAGCACTGCTGAGTGTCGTAACAGCCTCCCTTGTAGCCTTGAGAAAATAGGATTCTTAATTAGAATTGATCCCTAAATCCTAATAGGTTTAAATCAGCTTTTATGGAAGAAGCAGGCCATCTTGTATCCATATTAATCTCAATTTGAAATCAATAAATGTTTATTGAATTGGTCTTTTGTTCAACTTCCAAAGTATCTTTCTGTTGTGTAAACATGTGTGATGCACATCTCAAGGCTCCCAGTGCTGGCACCATCCGTCCACCTTCTGTATTGAAACAATGCCAGAGGATTGGAATTACTTAAACTGACAAGTGTTTCCTTATTTTCAATTTCCTTTGCATTCATGTGTACTGTGGGCTCAACCTAATGAGTCTTCCAGAAGGGAACGAATGCGATATTAATAGATGTCATCATACTGGTCATGGATATTACCATTCCACCATGATGATTATCTTACATTAGCACTCTAATTCTTGATTGGCAACCAAATACTACATGTGGCAGCTATGGTTATTTAAAGGCCAGAGATATCACTTGATATTTGCACAGTGTGGCATTTAGCATTAATGTGTGTGTGCTCCAATCCAATAAATCTTCCAGATGGGGGGAACGTAATATTTTGTCATTGTCGTTATGAAGCAAACTATATCTCCTATCAGTGATAACAAGTTTTCATATGATTTTTTCAGTCAAATGATGAGTTTGACCTCAGTAGCTGTCGTGTTGTTGGAACATGCACAAATCTGGAAAAACAGTACCTCAGACTCACATCAGTAAGTATTTGAACTAACTTGGCTACTAAAGTCATATACATTTTTTGTAAACATAGCATTATAGTTGAAACATGTTATGGTGGGAATAAATCAGGATATTTTTGATTATATAGAGCAACTTATATACTGAGAGAGGTGTATGCTAAATCCTAATGGGATCAGATCAGGCCATCTTGGAAGAACAAGACCATCTTGTGTCCATATTTATCTTAATTTGAAATCAATAATTGTTTAACAACCAAAGTAACATACTGTTGTGATAACATGTGTGATGCGCATCTTCAGGCTCCCAGTGCTGGCACCATCCGCCCACCTTCTGTATTGAAACAGTCCCTGAGGATGGTACAAAAAGACTGGAAGGAAAAGAATGACTATAGATATGCATGTGAACAGCTCAAGTCCGTACGCCAGGATCTGACAGTAAGTTGAATGCGTATTAATATATTTTTCAAATAAAGAATACCCAGTTTTTACTTTCCTGTCTAAACACATTTTATTTAGTGTAAAGAGAATAACATCTGCCCAAGCTGTATGCATGGACCACTGGTTGCTTAAAGAATGTCCTGCTCTACTGTTGGCACCTTTCATTCACACAATTTGCACAGAAATGGAAATAGAGTTTTGCTTGATGCTGCACACCAGTACTCCTGCCATGAGATAGTTAACTTGTAAACAAACGGGCAGTAGAGTAGCCTAGTGGTTAAAGTGTTCACTTGTCAAGCTGGAGATCTGGGTTCAATTTACAACATTGGTGCATTGAGCAGAGCCCATTTCTGGTGTCTCCTGCCTGCCATGACAATGCTGCAATAGTGGTGTAAACAAACTCACTGTATACAAACAAGACAATCAGCAGATTGATGGACTGGCAAATCCAGTTTGATAATTATGAATAGCAACTGCTGTGTAGACATGTAGGGTTTCTGATGCTTACAAGTAAACTTAAAGAAAATAGATTTGTTTTATGCAATTGAATTTGATTATTATCTTTACTGATATTCTTTTCACACCATTGGGTGTTTTTGGGGGGCAGTAATTCCTTTGTTTATTTGAGCTTTGTTTTTCAGGTTCAAGGAATCCGAGATCAGTTGACTGTAGATGTGTATGAAACACATGCAAGAATTGCAATGGAAAAGGCAAGTCCCCACATTTTCTGTTAATTCTCTGCAGTTATCTGTAATGGTTAAGGCCAGACACTGCACCTCACATATGACAAAATGCTTAACAAGTATTTGTTAGGTTTATTTAGTTTCAACTTAGAGGTATACATGTTAACAATCGATAAAGAGTCTTTTCCAGGTGATGGTGCCACCGGTTGCCATGGAAACGTCCAAGATGGACGCTGCAAGCCTGAAAAAAGATGAAATTTAGTGAAAGTTTTTCTGTAAAACTAATAAAGATATCTATATAATTTCAACTTTACAACATACCTTGGGGTGTGTAGGGTGCAATGACAGAGATATTTTTTAAAAAAGACTGTTATTTTATTTAAAAATTTGTTTTAAAAAAATCACTTTTGGGGGGTTGATTTTCACTCATATTTCATTTTTTAAAAAGAAAACCGGCAACAAATTTGAAAAAGTCTCTCTGTTATTGCATAAAGTAATCAATTGGCTATATGTACACAAAATTTCATTGAAATCGGGCCAGTAACAACTGAGAACTATGTTCACTAAGATCGAAAATGACGTATATGGAGAAAATAAGGAAATAAATTTGGTCGGGTTTTTTCCTACTTTAGCGAGATAAACATATTCAAAGTCTCAGTTTACTGAAGGGATGTATTCAAATACATGAAGCAATTCATATACAAAGAAAAAAAGACATAAAACTCCCCATCACCATACAACAACCACTCAGTAGTCAGTTGCTTCAACACAAACTCTATCCCTTCGCATCCATTGATTGTGGTGTAGGTTTGTCATTGACAAGGAAATGAGATCGGAGGTTCTCAAAAACTTTAAATTTTGAAAGTTCTATCGTGAATCTCGATTCAATAAAACTATTTCTTACCTTCATTGACTCCATTGGGAATGTTTTCCTCAAAGCGTGGTCCCCAGATGTTTCCGATGCATCGAAAATGTAGAAGCTGTCAGAAATCTAAACACATGCTTGATCGGCAGCTGTCAAAACTTGTGGATCTTTGACACTGTATTTTAAGCATGCCTGTCGCAGCTCGCCTCTTTTTCTTAATGTAGGCGTGCTTTGACTGTGTTCTTCTCATTTTATAGAATACAACAACTGTTAGTCAAGAATATATCAAATCTGATGTTTATCGGTCGATGTTTTAAGCTAAGCAGCCGCCATTTTGAATGCTTACGGGAAAGGGCGATGTTTTGTTGATATGCCGAATGGTGCATTGTGGGATACGTTTACCATATAAGGATGAAGCGAAGATTACCGAATGTTGCATTGTGGGATAGATTAAGCCTTGCCGAATGTTGCATTGTGGGATATTTAAGCCTTACAAGGATGTTTTAAATTACAGAATACCTATCAGCGGGGAAAGTAGAGATATCCTCACGTGGAACATCTATTTTTTAGAATGTTTTGACCAACAACATGGCGGACCACGATGAGCTTTCTAGCGATGTATAACATGAATGGGTTCGTCCCTGCTGGGAGGGCGTTGTTAGGGGTGAAAGTTCGGCGTTTTCAGGGTTTGATTTCACACATTTTTGAATATTATCACATATACGATTATGTTTGTAGGGGTTTATATCAATAAATAAGACTCTTTATCGAAAACAACGTGTTGTATCGTTAAGTACATGTGTTAATTATACGAAAAAAATCAAAATCTCGATTTTGACATGTTGAAGCAAATATGTCAATTTGAGGTGCCGTGTCTGGCCTTAATTCAGTTAGTGTATACAGATTCTTCAGTATTATTGTTGAAGACCCAATGTAATTGTATTTTCATTTAACAGGGTGACCACGAGGAGTTCAACCAGTGTCAGACTCAGCTGAAACTGCTGTACCAAGAGGGGATCAAGGGGAACCATATTGAATTCACTGCTTACAGGATACTCTACTACATCTTTACATCAAACACCCTTGGTATCCTTCATAATAATCAAACAAGCTATGGATGTTTTAGTGCTGTGTTATGTTGAAAGCTGATTATCTGACAGATTATGCAGCTTCCCCAAGACATGACAGCCACTGTTCTAAAATCTAGACTGTAATCTGTAAATACTGTCCCCCTCAAGGCGGGTTTTTGGAGTATGAATGTATTTCTCATGTATAATCTTTATTCATGATATGAATAAAATACTGCCATTGTGCCCTCGCATTTTGTCATGCTCACTTGCACTCACTAGACAAGACCTGACAAGATGTTAATGTTCTTCTAATGTGTGGGCTATTTTGCAAGAGGTCATTATTATCCTTAACTTGATTTACAGATCTGACAACGGTGCTTGCATCTTTATCACCAGAACACAGGGCAGATGAATGTGTCAAACATTCGTTGCTCGTTAGGTCATCATGGGCACTTAATAATTATCATTCTTTTTCAAGCTCTACAGTAAATGCTCCAAAAATGTCAGGCTACCTCATGGACTGGTTTGTTGACAGAGTTAGGAAGAATGCGCGGCCAAGGCTATTGTTAAGTCGCATGCGTATTTGTATATACATTTTTCTCTTGGTTATTTTTAAGAAACATGAAATTTTGCAAATATTCCATTTATGTTTTCTGTTTACATTTGAAATTTGTATATACAGTTTCACAACAATTTTGGATAGAACTTCAGTGATACAAAATCCAATTTCAAGTAATGGTGGGGTATCCTGTTAAGGGTTCAATTGTCATTCTGAAAGCCTGGGTTAGAATCAGCTCACAGTATTATGTGTGAAGCCTTTTTATGTTTTTTCGCCATGATATTGCTAAAAGGCTACTCGTTTTATAAAGTGGATGATTTCTGTTGTGTAGTTTTAATGGGTAAGTTAAGGGTGAGTAACAAAGATGCATGCAATAGTTTGTGCTCAAGAGGTAAGTATTGGAGGTTGAATTAATTATTTTGGTAAGTACATATATTGAGCAATCAAAATACTCTGGTAAGTAAAGTAATACAGATGATATATTATTTTCTGATACCATGAATTTGTGTTTAACTCTTTGTCCTCTCTTCTCTTTTTCATCGTTGGTGTCTCTTCCATCCTGGTGTAACCACATGTGTAGGTATCGTCCCATGCTGCCTATTTGTTTCATCCAGAGTGAGTTAGTGTTCCCTGACCAGGAAAAGGTCATGGAATTTCTTAAAGAGAAGGGTGCTGTATTAAATGCTGAATCAACCAAGGTGGACTGCAAGCAATCCAGCACAGCTGTTCAGAGTTGTTAGTGATGGCTCATCATACACCCATGTGTCCAAGGATGTGGGGCACAAGTTAATTGCAGGAAGTGTTTATCTCGTCAACATGGTCACCATCCTTTGCCATGGACTTCGATTTGCCTTGAGGATACCAAAGCTCAAGAAAAGGGGAAGGGTCATTTGGGTGGGTAGGTGGGTGGTTCTTTGGCTTACATATGGTTCTAGTTGTGCTGAAGTGGAAGTGCATCTGAAGATCTACAGATGAACTTTATTTTTTGCAAGTGTGTGTTCCTGTTTCCCCGAGGAGATTTGCCATTGTCATCTTTGGCAAAAGCAAAGGACTTTTCTTGTTGCATCTTTGCTCAAGAAGTATTTTGCACCAGTAGTTTCATTCAGGTCATTGACACCTGTCAAACGTAATCTTCTGAAGTTAAAAGAAGAGGATTAGGTCCAGTACCTACGTTATGAACAGTATCATTTTTAAGAAGTGTTGCAGTTGGAAGTGTTTTGATCTGTAATGCCGGGTAAGCTGAGGAGATGTTCACCATTAAGGATCAATCCACACTTTTTGGCATTTTGAATGAACTTTAAGATATAAAATTCTGAGAAGAACCAAATATCAAGATGAAGAGGATCTGTTCCATTTGTTTTTTCTGAATCCAATGCTGATGAGTAGTTGGGTAAGCTGTTATTAAAGAAGGTAATCCAGTCAAGCGCCGTTGATCTTGAATGTTCAGCATTGTTTTTGGAATTAAAGGTTTGAAAATCGTTTTCAAGAAGTAGGTTCCAGTCAGGCTATGGAAGTCAAGTCTTTTTTTTCTGATGTTGAAGTGACTCTTAATGTGCTAAGGACTCTGCTGTACCGGTCATATTTTGGAAGAAGTAAAGGGAATTAAATGGTGAGTGATCAGAAAATTGAAGAGGATCAATCCCATGCCAGCTGTAAAGATTCAAGCCAGTCCACTGAAGTATTATCTTATAGCTTCCTTCAACAAGTTACATCTGCAGTGTGGATCAGTCTACAGGAAACCAGATGGTGTGGGCTTTAAGAAGTGGTTTGGGCATGATTGGGAAGGGTAGAGGGAGGTTGGTGGGAGGGGGAGGAGCAGCAGCAGGTGGTCTTCACCGTTCTAAAGTTCCATATCATTGTTTGTGCTTAATCTTTCTTTCTGCCGTGTCTGTGCAGGTTTTCAGCTTCAGTGAAGAAGAACCAACAGATTTTGAACATTTTGAGATCAATCTGTATGAAGAAGTGCTAAGAGATAAGATTATGTTTCTGAAATCCTTCCTGAGAATGTGGACTGTTCCAGATGATCCAAGATGAGTAGCTGTCAACAGTTAAACGTAATCATGTGAAATGATCTTTCTTTAACAAATCTACTCTCGATCGCTGAAACACTTTTGTTAGCTTTCTAGCTGTGACAGTAGTGATTCCTTGGAGTGTGCTTCAATGATCGTATTGATGTCCTGTGATATTTTCCCCAACTGGAGACACTCAATTTATTGCCTTTATCATATTTGTTACATGTATAATGTTGTATTTTTCTTTTTCATGTACACATATTCATGATATTTTATCTATAGGTATTTTTTTCCAGAGATAGATTAATGTACAAATTTGTACATAAAATAAATCATGAACCTAAACAAAGTGTTTTGTTGTTAAGAATGACAAGCCAGAAAATGTTGTTGCAATGTCGTTGCCTTATGCCAGGCACTTTCTGTTCTTGTTCAGCGACTATGTTCCTCACTATTCTTATGATTTTACATATATTTTTCGTATATACACGTACAGTTACCAACTGCTGCCAATTATGGCAGTGAAACAGATTCATCCCGAAGGTTCCATGCTGTACATTCGCATTGAACATAAGATAATGTCATCTGGTATCGGCTGATATTTTTGCAGTCTGGACAAAGAATGTTGAGCTCGATGTATTACCTTAACTTGTGTTACCTTAATTTCAGTATTAACCATACAACTATATCTCTTAACAATTCTGAAATACGTGTATCGTGGTCAACCTGCTTTTACTTTCAGAATTCTCTATCAATACTAGGTATTGTTTGAAATGCCCCATATCTTCACCCATAATTGTCCCGATGTATTCAGCAGCGTCCGTACGTACGTCCCGTTTCTTAAGTATAGTTTGTGACAGATTACATTGGAGTATTACGCAGACACCAGTCGATTTGCGTCACCTTGATCTTATTTTCAAGGTCACCAGGACACTGACCACATTTCTAACTCTTAACCAATGTCTTCAAATTGTGACAGCCTACATTGGGGGATTACACACACTTAAGTACTGTCGGAAATAATTTTTTCACATTTATATCTACGATTTAGGTAGTTAATATGTGAAATATCTGTTAAACTAAATTCGGCTTAACTACAGAGTTTAAGAGTTAAACACAAAGGGAGATAGGAAACGTAAAAAGGATTTTGCTGAGGAGAGATTAGTGCAGAAATGAGCAATGCGGGTTATTTTTCATATCCTGACTCATGCTCTTTTTTGCTTGTCTCCTTCCTCTTGCGAACATAGTGGAACACTTGTATCTCCCTAATTGAAGTTCCCTTCAATGTAAAATCTAATTAGTACACCACGAAAGTTACCTCCCTTCCACAAAGCGGGAGCAGGGGCGCCACCTCTACCCATGTGCCTCACTCTCTCCTTCTTAAGCCCAGTGAGCTGGACGTGAGAGCATGCAATGTCTCCGACACACACTATATCCTTTGATTATATTTAGTTAGTTACCTCGTATAGAGATCTATAGAGGTTTAGCTAGAGTATCTTTCAACAATTATATATTGATATTTGAGTAAATTGTTTTCTACTGTTTATGCATGCGGAGGCCCGTGCTGTTGCAGTGGATTCACGTTGATAAAAATTCTGTACTGTTGCACATTACGTTTTATTCTGCTGCTGATCCGCATTTAATATGCCCTAAGCTGTACTTTCGCCATGTTTCATGTGATTCGCGTTGCAGTTTGCGATACTAATTTATCCAATTCTACCTTTAATAAATAAGTACTTTGCGTTTGAGGCAGCGCAGCAGATAGAGTCGCGTATGCAGAGTCTAGCGCTGAGCTGATATACACCTGAACCCCTCGCCAGTCTACTGCTGTTGGTGGTGACCCCCCTCCCGTCTGGTTTTCCGCTAGAATGGTGGAGAGGCGTGGGGCCGTAGTCGCCGCCTCCTCGAAGCGTCCTGCTTCCCCAGACATCCCTTCGCGGCACTGAGGGGTATTCAGCGAAGTCTACTAGAACTTTCTCAGCGAGATTGTTCTCATCGCCAGATTTGGGCCTGTATGATGATCAGCCGATCATCATTCCTGATGTACATCAAAGAATGACTGATGTCGGCAACGCAGTGATGTCAGCGCAGATCAACGTCGATGATGATGATCTTCCTGAGGGTCCATTCGCTACCAACACTCAGCGCGGAGCTTAGCGAGCCCCAGGGCAGCGTCGAGCCTCTGAGGGAATTCAAGCGAAGTCTACTGGGACTTTCTCAACCGAGAGATTGTTCCAGCCGCTGAACTTGGCCTCTCACGATGATCAGCCGATCATCATCCCGACATGTATGAGACAAGTAGCGACCGGTGACAGCTACAATGACATCAGCAGAGATCGTCATGCAGCCCTGATGTCTCTACACTGATGTCGGACGAGACTTACCTGAGGGCCCCACCACTAACAGAAAGCAGAGATGGCACTACTACTTCGCCGTTCAGACCATCCCAGACGAGGCTACTCTGGCGAATCATGTGGTCGTGATGGAGGTCACTACAAACAGGAGAAGCAGCCAGCCCAGAGTACGAGCCTTCGCGAAGGCTCCAACTTAGATAACACTCTAGAGGCACCTCCAGTCAAGCGTAGCAGCCAAGGCGATGCAGCCTTCGGCGAAGGAAGTTAAGCAGACCACCTTGACGAAGGACCCAGATGTACAGCCAGCGAAGGCCTTCGGCGGGATATAGATCATCCACATTCCCTCGGCTTCATCGCTAGATGCAGACTCAGCCACCAGACCTCACGGAAGCCTTAGCGAAGCTCAAATCGCCGTTCCCCAGCGCGAGCGCCAGAGGAAGCAGCGAAGTCGCATAAGAGCATTGAAGGCACTCAGGAAGGACACACCGAATATAGATCGTCATTTAACAGAGTCAGGGACTACTCAAGAGCTTCGCGAAGCTGTCAATAGTCTCCGATCTCCTCGTACATCACCACATCGATGCGCCTCACGGAGTTTACCACGCAAGTCTCTGCACACAAGTCTACATCATCACACCTTCCTAGAGTGGCAGTCAGCCTTGGACGCAGACATACCTGATGAAGGAAGGCGACGCAGATGCTATCACCCTACCTCCGATCGACCCGATTGCTGCGGTAGCACAGAATCTAGACATAGCATCCCATAAAGCCACAAAAGTTCCAGACACCGCACAATTGCCGAACTTTCACGCCTAGAAGTTTTCCACGCACAACATGGACCCCTTCTTCAATGCTTAAGACATCGATAGAAAACTACAGAGTTGATCATCGATATCAACAATAAAGAACTACAATCATTAGAATTGGTTCAGTTGAATCCATGACGAGACGTATGTTCGTTGGCCTAAATAGATCTAGAACGATCATTGAGACACTTATCAGCCAGATTTTCGCGGCTTGCGACTTCCTGAAAAATGATAAGATGATCCGCTTTCGGCCTCATTTACTATGCAGAACCAGCAAGTCCCAGGCCGCCTCCGGCGAAGTGCCTAGAGCCTCACCAGCTACAAGGGGCGTCATGAGGAATAGCGCTTCGTCGACCCCACATCCTGTTAAACACAGAGGCCATTCGCGAAGCAAGCGCTCTTATATATATATATATATATATTCTAATCGGACTTTTGACTCGATACCTTCGCGAAGGTCGCGAAGCTAAAGTAGCTCCAAGTCTACTTCACCAGTAGATCTAGAAGGGATACTTCGAGAGCTTCGTGAAGTCTCCGGCGTTCTGAGAGTCTCCTCCAAGGTCTCCATTATACTAGCCACTCGTCATATATAGCTACTCCTCAGTCCGTTCAAGACATCCCGCATAAAGTTGTCTATCAACTGTATGCCAGATGCCGTCTATAAGCCTACGCGAAGACAATTGCACAGGCTATTTACAACACAGAACGTAAGCTGTATCAATTTGTCAACGACGTTTCATAGATCTTCACAGAAATCAACTATTCCGTATAAATTGCTGGTATATGCAATCCCGGACGACGATCATGACATTATCTACATGCGTGACCATTACGCATATCTGCGCAGACAATTCAATACCGAAATTGAACAGCAGCTCCAGTTACAGCGAGTATAACTCATAATCATTCGGCATTTCTGAGAAGAAATATGTAACAACAAATTCAGCTTTAATTCTACAATTATGACGATACATTCATGTATACAGTCTACAAGCTGACAACTTACAAGTTATTGTACCAGCATATATAAAGAGTCGAATTATATTCAAAACTGAAGCACTTTCCGACAGCCAGGAGAAATAACCACCAGCATTAATATTACAGAAGGTATTTTGCGCCGAAGCTTTCGCGCGTTTACCATTAATCCTCGAAACACGTGGTCGCCTCGGGTAACTTCGGGAGTTTACGATGAAGACCGACGATTGTTCTAATATCAACGACACTGCACTATATTATTATACAAGGTTCCTTTTCCTGCTACACCGGTGACATCACAGCGCGGGTACTCTACAGAATCAAAATGCCTTATTCTGATTGGACCCGATGAACAACGCGCCTACACAGAGGTCGAGCATAGTTCACAGTTCAAGACATAGGTTGCAAGTGACAACTTTATATCAATGAACGAGCAAGCCTCCTTACGGCCTGTGCTAACCTGAACCTTCAGGATTAGGCTGCTTTCTTCAGGTTAGAGACCTCCCCGTCAGCGTTTAGACAAAGGGCACAGCAGTCAGGCGATTTTACATAAAGTTCATCGAGGACACAAACTCCCCGGTTGGCTGCACATACATCGTCAAAGGGACATGTAACGATTTACCTGAACGACGTGATACAGAAGTGGATCGAAATCCACAGCGTTTCAGACTACACCTGAATTTCATCATCAAGCTACTAACACAACTAGATGGTTAGTAAACCCTACTAAGTTTCTGTTTGAGAGAATAAGCGGAAGTTTCACGTACCAACTTGGGGATATGAATATAGTAAGCTACAACACCTCACAAGTGGGTTTATGAACATGCCTGGATGACATACTTGGACTCCATGATACGATGATGCTATCACGCTGGCTAGCAAGGCACTGTAAATTTATCTCCACCAAACCAAACAGGAAGAAAAAAATACAACTTCGTGATTTTTTCCTCTATCATCAACTTACTGCAGAGTGTAGTCTCACGTACTATATCTCCGTTTGGATCAGAACTGTCCATACTACGTTGCATACAAGACAGATGGACTCAATCCGACCCTCCATGAGCTTTAATACTCTTTATATTGGCTTAACTTCAATTTCATCTACACAAATGTTATTTGAAATAATGGAGGGTTTATTACTGTAGATCCGATATGGTGGTTGCCAACCATTATCTGAAGATATCACCACCGAGGACATCTCAGAGTATCCACC